TAATGTTGTAAATAGGGTCTGTTTAATTGGGAAAATGTTTCCTTGTAGAATTACCTGTTAATCTGTTAGAGTACCTAAAGTAGACATTCGAATGATTTGAGTTCGGTTCTTTTAAAGAAATATAATTTCAAATACTATGATTTAAGATATTCTGTATCAAAATATATTTAGATATTAAAATACAACCAAAATTGTATAAATGTATTTTTGTGGTATAATGTGTAGTTTATAGGAGGAATAACACCCATTATATTCAGATATGCGGATTAATATTGGTAGTTTTACCTTTATAAGTTTCAACAGCGACATGGAATGCAGATACATAAAAATATGAGTTTATAGACAATGCATGATACTTTTATACAATTTAATAAATGATAGAGATACAAAATACATCGTTATTGTAAACTTAATCAGGTGCCTATTAGTGTTTCTGTGGTATGTAACTATTATGCCTCTAATAGTTCTCGCATAACTGTTATGTTTAATACCTCACAGCCCATCGCACTTCATGGTTAGAATAACCACGTTTTGAGTTTTTATCTTCTTTAAAGATACGGAGAAAAAACATCATGATGACTGATTTCTCATGAGTTATTTACAAGTACTGATCTGTGTAGCTAATCCTTGAGACTTACTCGTATTAGCTGTATTTTCTGTTTTAATTTCATTTGAAGACTGCTAGGTATTTGGGCTGTTGATCTTTAGTCTATAAAGAGTTAAGATTCAGGTAGTTTTACATGTGTTTTAAATAGTAAAATTATTTTGATACAGATAATAATTGACATACCTTTGTTTAGCAAACGCTCCCACAAAACTTTGTGATAGATGAGGACAAAACCTTAAGCGACCTCTGCAGTAACGAAGAATTTAAAATAAAGTGTTTTTTAGCACATGTCTATTCCAAGTAAGGTTATTTATATGCCTCACGTAATACAGTGCTGGAGAAATTTATAGCATTGGAAAAAAACTATATATCGAATAATTCAGTCAATTGTCAGTTAATTAACTGTCTCCAGATTCATTCAGGTGTCTGACAATGATTCCCAACTGTATATTATATCAATTGAAATACAAAAATGTCGTATCATTCCAGCAAAGCGAAAGCAAAGCGAAAGCAAAGCGCTGTCATGTTGTAGATTACGTGGCTGGAAATCTTGAACAGGTTACGTCATACACGCGGGGTATGATAAATATATACAGCATAATAATAATTAGTTAGAAACACAATTTAATATAATAATGCATAAATGATTTATTTGTTATATGTGTAAAAATTTACTATTTATTTAATAACATTATTAATATTTATTAGTTGTCATATTAACACTAGAATTAACATCAATTAAAGTGCATTTAATCGACCGATGCAACGATGAAATAAGATAAAAANATACAAAGATGGTATTATTTTTTGTACCGTACATGCAATTACAGAATAAAACTAACGTGAACTTCTTATTGCAAAGGATCAAAACAACGTAAAAACTATTGTGTAAATCTAAAACCTAATACCCGTTAACTGCTTCCAACAGAAGATGCCAAAAGTATCAATAGCGATCGCCGCGCGTCAGCTGCTATTGGAAATCGAGTGGTAATAGCGACAGGCAAAGTTTAAATGGGTACTATAATTTAATGTCCATATCACTACCTGATATGTGTTAATATTGGCAACGTTTAACCAAACAAAACCGTATCTTGATTTTACTAAATACTTAATTTAAGATTAGTTTCTTTCAAACGACAAAGCCATTTCTACACTTGATATTTTTAAACATTCATCGGGCGTAACTATTCATTTTTCTCTATGCAGTGGGATACTTCTTCACATCTTCATACCATTGGTCGGTCGTGAAGTCGGCCAAATAAATCCACCAATGAAATGTCTTTGACATATAACAGTGACCTTTCATGTGAATGCTACGACAGGGCGTTATATGTCGGGAATCTGAAAGCGGAAGTTTTCTAATTACATTTATTTATTAGGTGGATTTGTGTGAAATGGTCATTTATTTACAGAAGTTGTGCACGGTATGCGCACTATACAACAATCATGCTACCATTCAAACAACATCTCAGCTAACGTGTTATTGTTAAGAATTGTGTCTTTCGTGAATAAAGTTATGTTGGCTAAAACCCAAAATGGCGTCAGATCTTAACATCTTTATTTTGTTTCGAAATTGTCCACTGTATCTTTCACGTGCCGTTAGCAATAAACAAATCATTAATATCCCACATTTACACGATTGGTTGAAGTTAGTTAACTAGATAGAAGGTGTATGCTGATGTTTGGTAAATTATTGTGACGTCCAAATATCGGATAAATTTTGTCTAACCACGTACAGCTCCGCCTGTTTTTAGATGCGGCCTTCACAACTATGTCTACCTCATTGACCTGAATTATTTGTTGGTGTTGTCAGAGTTGCTAATATTATGCAAACAAATGATGACCTTAGTTCATAGTAGCTTAAGTTGTCAGTAGTACACGTCGGTACATTTTAACATGCAAACCAGGATTATGGATTTGAACAAAAACCAACGTAAGTACATATATATTTCTATGTAAACTGAATTATTAACAAATATTGTTCTAGCATTTTGTCTGAATGGCTAAGATTGGATCATTTGTCAGGGAAATGGTAATTGTCTCCATACATTTATTACATAGTATATCATCTTATCCCATATTGTGTCGCTGCAATATATTGCAAACCACTCTCATTTACTATGAATAGCATAGCAACGTTACACTTTTCAATGTTCCCTGCCAGTGGTTTCAAATCATTAAAATAGTATTCCGAGTACTTTCAATATTCGAAAAAGCGTTATGAATATAAATATCATTGACTATACCTTTTCTTGCATCTTGAGACCATGGTAATGCAATTCAACTTCTTAATTGAAATTATTGTCATGTAATGAATAAAAAGAATATTGTTTTAATAACCATTATATAATCTGTCCGTTTCATGACGGGTAAACATATTAATCAGTTTTGATATAATGATCAATAGTGTTATTTCCGGTAAAAAAGAAGTTAACAATTGAATAGAGCAATGTATGGCTACTGACTTGGTGTAACGTACATTCCACCGAAGAAGCGATACTAAACCTCGCTTATCTACTTCCTGGATAGCTATTCAAACTCATCGCTATATCGTATATATTTCTTGCAGCATTCTATAATCATATGAGAAAATGTAAAACGTAGGAAGTTTGTCTATCATTTATAAATCAATATAACCTTGTTGTACATAGTAGTACACACGTGTTTCAGGCCGTTACGTCCGTATGTCATTTGTTAAAGGAATGTGTGGTGTTATTCGCCCGTTTCATGGCGTAGACTTTTAACAATGACAATACATCTGTTATTGATCGCGGTGCAATACTGCTTGAATAGAAAAACAAATTAAAAGAGATAATCAACTACACCATGTAAGTATGTGAGCATTAAATAACTTCTCTATACTTTAACACGTTGATTTGAATATTTTGAGAGAATAGTATTCTTTTGTCAATTAAGATTAAGAGCCCGTGGTTTGTTTGCGTGCAACATAAACTGTTCTATTTCCTTATTTTCTATAACTATACTTTTGGTGTATTGTCTTGTTCGGAGCCCTACATACATATAGA